AGAGATTTATGTGCTCTGAGTTCTCGGGTTGCGCTAGGCTCAAATGAGTCTGATAATCTTTTACCAACTCGGGCTCTCGAGCCTGCAAGAGTTTATATGCCCGGGCCCAGGTGTCTTCGGTCGTAGGAGAAGATGATGGACCGGGTATGAAATTTTCGGGCTGCACGTCGGTCGTTTCCAGCGAGAGGGGCTCGAAAAGACTTGAGACCGGCATGGTATTGGAAGTCACCAAAGCAGGTTTGGAGAGCTTGTCGGGATTTCCAGTAAGGCCATCTGAAGGCTGTACATAGTTTACCATAGAAGGCTCGGACGTGTTTGACTCTGCGGTCGGAGAGACGACAAGGGCACCTCCACGTGTTCTATCGGGTTTCTCCTTCTTTCTCCATTTCGCTAGCTTCGCCGCCAGTTTGTTGGTCATCTTTGTACTTTTACCCATTTTCCGGTCTGGGTCTTCCATTTTTGAAGATTTATGATCCAGTGGATACTGGGCTTTCCCGAAAATGATGTTTTGCAAGCAAACAATCTGCAGGGGAGATGCGATGTGGTTAAAGGATGGCGGGGCTGAGTTTGAAGCCCAAGATCGAGGGAGAGGAGTCAGCAAAATCTTTTAAGCCACGACGCTTAGCAAAATACAGCTGAAACCCACTATTCTGTAGTGGTAGTTCTTTTTCTTCGAACTGCCGCAATTTTATCTCATCATTTTGGCTGATACTGATGTATATTGCTACATTGCATCAATAAGCTCTAGGTTAGGCCTTCGCAGTGGCGCAAAGTTAATATAATTACTATATACCTGACAGCATGAATACAAGCTTAACAGATGTTATATAATTTTGACCTTATCCTGTAAAGCGACCGTGATTCGACTGTCTGGGTTCCCCAGCGGTCCCTGAATAACATAGGATAAACAGAAGGGAGGGAAACGCATCATCGTATTCGCACAACATACCTATATGTAGTTAACAGGCACCATTCCTATCTGGGAAGGTCTGTCCGGGACATATCACCATGATTACAAGGTATGAGCTGGCAATCAAGGTCGCCTCGTGGGCTTGCTTTATTCCATACCCTTATAGGATAAGAGATAGATTTGCCGCCGTTATTCCAAGGTTTTAAGGTTGTATCTCCCGATATGTAATCGGAAGGCTTATCGCAGTCATATTTTCACTTTACCAAGTTTGGGAGATTTGGCTCGATAGATAATTTGAAGCGTGGAACTTGTTAGTTGGCACCACGGGAGCCGAGATAGGAAGTCCACTAAACCATAAGATAAAATCACTGTTCGGAGGAACCATTTGACAAGGGTGAAGCGTAATGTTGAAGCCGGGAGTAATGAGGAGAACTGGGAGAAGGTACGGAGGGGTATTTTCCAATACCCAGCGGGTATATGAGTCTCACGTGATCCACCCCGGAATCCCCAGTTTCCCCATGGGGTAGTCAACAATATGGTAGTATCACTCTTTCTTCACTTGATGAGCAGCTACGGTGTTTTTTATTCACTCGATCAGCTATGAAGGACCTTTTCAGATATCTACTAGTACTAGTACTGGGTGGAAGACCCACGAGGCCTCGTGACCATCCATGCATCTCCCAATACGGCTGATTATGTTATACCCTCGGCTTTCCCCGCAATCTCGCTTTGCATCGGCTCAACAGGAGCTTCTCCAAATCCTTGACATTTTCCCATTCTCTACTTTGTCCCTTCAAAGCACCTTGATTATGCTTACATTGTGATTTGAATTACGCTCTGAAAAGGCCTTATTACAGCTGAAAAGGCTGTTCTCCCATCGTCATGACCCTCTCATCCCTTCTCCGCATTGTTCCCCGCTTAACCCCGACCGCGACTCGCGGAACATCGCGAGCTGTATCATCGACCACTAACACACCAAATACAATCAAATCGTTAGATTCAATTCTTATAGCCAATCGAGGAGAAATTGCCTTGTATGTTGGGCACTGAATCATGTGCAATTTCTGGTGCTAACTTCGATATGCTAGACGAGTTGGACGCACTGCCGCGGAACGTGGGATCCGCGTAACAACACTCTACACCGACCCGGACAGCCGATCACAACATGCCTTGAGCTCCCCCTTCGCCTTTAATTTGGGCTCGGTTTCGGCGTACCTCGATGGTGATAGAATTATTGAGATTGCAAAGAGAGAAGGGTGTCAAGCGATCCACCCTGGCTATGGCTTTGTAAGTCGGCTGTGCATATTTACATTCTAGATGGAATACTAACTTGAGCTTGTTATGCAGTTGAGTGAGAACTCTGCATTTGCGCAAAAATGTACCGAGGCCGGGTTGGTCTTCATCGGCCCACCGTATAAGGCCATTGAGGATATGGGTGATAAGAGGTACGCTCATTGCGTTATTTGAATATTCACTATGCTTACCAGGCGTGTCCTACCAGTCGTTCCAAAGAGATTATGACAGCTGCTGGTGTACCATGCGTCCCAGGCTATCATGGCCAAAATCAAGACCCTGCGTTTCTCGAGGAGCAGGCGGACAAGATCACGTATCCAGTGCTCATCAAAGCCGTCAAAGGAGGTGGTGGAAAGGGCATGCGTATCGCCAGTTCCAAAGCGGTGTTTCAAGCTCAGCTTGAGTCGGCTAAGTCAGAGGCCATGAGCTCGTTTGGAGATGATAATGTGCTGGTGGAGAAGTATATCACCACACCGCGGCACATTGAAGTACAGGTATTTGCCGACAAGCATGGTAACTCCGTTGCACTAGGAGAGCGAGATTGCAGTATTCAACGGAGGCACCAGAAGGTTCTAGAGGAATCTCCGGCGCCTCATCTCCCTGATGCAACTAGAAAGGACCTCTGGGCAAAGGCACGGTCAGCTGCAGAGGCTGTCGGCTACGAAGGTGCCGGTACAGTGGAGTTCATTTTTGATAATGACTCGGGGGATTTCTATTTTATGGAAATGAACACCCGTCTCCAGGTTGAGCATCCCGTGACTGAAATGGTCACTGGAGAGGATCTTGTCCACTGGCAGATTCTGGTGGCTGAAGGAGCCAAGCTGCCCCTTACGCAAGAAGAAGTGGAAGAGCGTATCGCCAAGAGTGGCCATGGCATCGAGGCCCGAATCTACGCCGAAAACCCAGAACAGGGATTTATCCCTGACTCGGGGCGTTTACTCCATGTGCGAACGCCGGCTACTTCGAAGGACATCCGCATTGACGCAGGATTTGTGGAAGGAGACGATGTCTCGGCCCACTATGATCCCATGATCTCCAAGCTTATCGTGCGCGGTGAAACCCGTGAGGAGGCTCTCCGCAAGCTAGCTGCTGCTTTGGAAGAATATGAGATCGCGGGACCCGTGACCAACATAGAGTTCCTAAAAGCCATCTGCAAGAGCCCGGATTTCATCGCTGGTGAGGTCGAGACCGGCTACATTGAGAAGCACCGTGACGAGCTCTTTCCCCCAAAGACCACCGAGGAGGAAGTGCTGGCGCAAGTCGCATTGGCATGTCTACATCGCGACGCCACGTCAGGGGCACGATCCTCAGCAGGGGTTGCAGGCTCAACGGTCGGGTTCACTCCTAGTTACCAAGAGCGACAGTTGTCATTTACCGAGACCGGCGGCCCAGGGTCTACCGACGGCTCCACGTTCAGTGTGCGAGTACAGCAGACAGCAGATGACACATTCAACGTGGAGGTTGGCGGACGAGTTTTCGAGCAGGTGGTGAGCCACATGGATCCAGCGTCGCACATTGTCACGTCGTTTTTCCCGCACACCCGGTTAGATACAACAGTAATTCGAGACGAGGATACTATTATCGCATTCCAGCGTGGGACTCAGTACCGACTCACGGTGCCCCGGGCTAAGTGGATGGAGAAGGCATTGGGACTGAAGGATGTGACAAACAGCGTCCTGGCCCCGATGCCGTGTAAAGTGCTGCGGGTGGAGGTGCAGGCGGGAGATGTGGTGGAGAAAGACCAGCCGTTGGTTGTCATCGAGAGCATGAAGATGGAGACGGTGATTCGCAGTCCCCAACGGGGAACCATTGCACGGGTCGTGCACAAAAGAGGAGTAAGTCATGCGCCTTTCCCCTGACCAGACTTTCCTGGACTTTCCTGGACCCCCATGACATCTTTTTTGTTTCGTTTGAATATGTTTAGCGTTTTTAATTCACCCCCTTGAACTCCAAAACCCCCAGAGAAATGTGACTCGAGAACAGCTGACCAACATGTGCCTTGCAGGATCAATGCAAAAGCGGAACACCGCTGGTGGAATTCGCCGAATCCGAATAGAGCGAGACTTTTGTTATAGAGGTACAAGTTTCAGCATGGGGATACCTCCCAAAATTAACACAAATATGGAGTTCACACTATCAATTTCGATTTCGCCTTACAATTACAGAGAATCGAAAACAACATTTTAGGCTCGGAGGATAGTGAGAGAAAAAGCTGCACCCTACGTATATCAGATGATAATCCGAAAGCTGCATCCAAGCACTTCATTGGCGTGCGGTAAAATGCGGCCGAAACGAAACTGACTGGTTTTAGCAAATAGGCAAAAGTCCGTGTAGCTCTTCCATCGTTATGATCAAGTTCTAAGGGATTTGAATGAGAATAACATTAGAGAGCATACGTAGTACTTGAATAATAATAGTAAACAAAAGTACTAAATTGGTGACATCATAGTCTCCCATCTAGCTTTCTATATTCTTTAGAGCTACAATTGGAGTAAATAAACAAATAAAACAAAGCTTGAGACTAAAATAGGCAGTCAATAGCCCTCCGATATCCTTTGGCTTTTTTTCACCGCAAGTGTCTCAATTCTTAGCCCTTGGGCTCTGAGAAAAATAAAATGCAAATGAGGTCCGATGACCTGATGACCTGATGACCTGCTTTGTTTGATACGTCCACCTTCCCCTGGATGTCTAGACCGTTTTTCCTCCCCAACATTATTCTCCCGTACATTATACGTCGCGTCCCCCCCAACCGTATACCTCTACAGCTCTATTGTGCATTGGAGCTATAACCTTCAAAATGTTCAAGCCGGCAGTCGCACGCGATGCCATCAAGGCCGCCCGTCCTGTATTAGCAGCCGCCCGTCCAGCGATGGGCCTCACACGTCCTCTCTCATACACCGCCTCACTGGGAAAGAAGAAGAGCGATGACCCTGCAAAAGACCCCATCCTCTCTGCTACAAATAAGGCTCCCGAGGGTGCTGCTAGTGATAAGGAGGGCAGATTTGCTCGCACTGATGAAAGCGTACAAATCGAATACCCTCCCGACAACGAGATGCCCACTCAGCCCGTGGCTCAGGGACGCGGTGGCATGCATTTCAAGCGTACTTTGGCCCAGTTCTCACTTGAGAAGAAAGTCAGCGTGGTGACTGGTGGTGCTCGTGGCTTGGGTCTAGTCATGGGCCAAGGCCTCGTTGCTTCCGGCTCGGATTTGGCCATCATTGATCTTAATAGTAAGTTCCTACGACCACTACAGATAACCGGAACAAGCGACTTATCCTAACACATACCCCAGAGGACGAAGCCGAGGCCGCAGTTGCCTCATTGATCGAGCAGTTCCACAAGGAGAATCCCGGTGTGGAAGAGTCAGTTTATTATCATACCATTCCAGCTCGCCGCAGTGGCTAATTCCAAACAGTATGCCCAAGGTCACCGCCCATTATGCCGACGTCGCTAACCCCGACTCTGTGAGCAATGCGATGGCCGAAGTCCTGGCCAAGCACAGCAAGATCGATAACCTGGTCACGTCGGCCGGCTTCACCGAGAACTTCGAGGCCATCAACTACCCCTTCGACCGTATGCAGAAGCTGTGGGGTGTCAATGTCGACGGCACATACCTTTTCGCCATTAATGTTGCTAAGCACCTGATGGAGCGGAAGGCGCCCGGGAGCATCGTCATGATCGGCTCCATGTCCGGCGCTATCGTTAATGTTCCCCAGCCCCAGGCTCCGTACAACGCCGCGAAGGCTGCTGTACGCCACCTTGCTGCTTCGCTCGCTGTGGAGTGGGCCAGTCATAATATCCGTGTTAACTGCATTAGCCCTGGCTATATGCTCACTGCTCTGTGAGTAACTCTTACATGGACGACGAGATACATTTGAGCAGACCTCCGGAAGAAATTGTTGCTGATGTCTTTCTTCGTCATTCAGAACTCGCAAGATCCTCGAGGAGAACCCCAAGCTTCGCGACCAGTGGATCTCCCTCATTCCTGCCGGCAAGATGGGTACACCGGAGGACCTGATGGGTGCTGTGACCTTCCTGCTCAGCGATGCCTCCAAGTACGTCACTGGGGCGGATCTCCGCGTTGACGGAGGCTATACCGTAACCTGAGCATGTTATCTGCGCACTATTAAATCTCTTACATGATGCTAGCTTTTATTTGACACGGATATGAATCCGATATAGACCGGTCATATTTTACGGCATGAGTTGCGGGATAATTTGGTCACGTATGTTGTGTTTTGCGGGATACTCTTTTCTAAGAGTCTATTGAACTTTTGTGGGGGAGCCTATCACATTACATAGCTCCCCACAAAAAGAGCTTGAACACGCTGGTCTAGACCCCTGAGTCCTACCGAAAAAGGAAATCTGAGACACCCCCTGCCTAAATAGGCAATTAGCTGTGGAATAAAATTAGCGTATTATTGTTTGCTTTGTTTGTTCTTGCTTGGTCACGCATGGCCGGGCACCAGGGCAACTCCTCTCTCTTCTCTTCTCATCATGTTTAGTATTTTGATTTGACTACACTCTTTTTGGTTGTTGAAGACCAAAAACATAATTTTGTTAAATTGAAATTGAAAATAATACTGTGTCAAACCGGTTACCATAGTACGCATGCTGCCAAGCAAGGGATAAGGAGAACAATATCACTTAAACAACATCCGAAGACATATTTCTTGCGAACATTTCGTTAACTCATGTACATTACCTTTAGCCTTACCATTCCGAATATTGCGAATTCTCACGTACCTCCTCTACGCAATGCCCTCAAACAACGAGCAGCTTCAGCCAATCACCTGTCAGTTTCCGGAGACACCTTCCATCACTGGCGAACTTCTAAGCCATATTCTTCAAACTATATTGTATCCTCACACTTGCTTGGTCCTATATTCTTTCCGCCCGTTTGTTGGAACTTCAAAAGCACGATGGAGCCGAGCTTGTTTACACTAGCTCAACGGCAAACCCTCGCGCGGTCGATGGGGTGGATAGAGACGAGGTAAAGCGTGCACCACCAATTGAAGTTCACATCGGGGAAGCCGAAAGCAACGTTGCTCGATGGTGGATGGCTATACAAGCCCCCAAGCATGGATGGAAAGCGGTCTTGACCAAAAGAAACGATAATGTCTACCTGGCACCTTGGTCTATTGACTTAGGCGAGGATGAACTATTCGAAATTCTATGGCAAGGCATAGGGACTTCTGCGCCAGAATTCGCCGATTGTTTTCCACTTTCCTCTGGAGAGGCCTTGATGGCCCTGTCTGAGTTTTGCCTACTGCATGGTCTTGGAGATCAATTTTTTGGCGCTTTTGCAGCAGCGTTGACATTTCCGACGAATCAACATTACAAACGCAGGATTGAGTTGCCATCTCCAACCATTGTACTTGGCAGGGTAGAATTCATTTCGGATAAGGCATTGGGGAACGAATATATTGCCCTTGGTGATGATCTTGCCTATTATATGGCCCTAAGCTGCAACCCTAGCGTCGTGATGTCAAGTCTTTCCGGATCATTTTGGGAGCCTGGGGTTCCCTGCAACCTTGTTAGTTCTTGGCTGCATCCGGTTGTGGAAGAATTGCCAACGAGATCGGAACTAGCAGAGGCACCAGGTCCCTAGTTGAATTGATCACTTTGATGTGCGGAATACGCCGTCCGAGCCTTTCTGCTCTTTGAGTAGGAGCTGCACTGAGTGGACTTGTTCCAAAGGTTATTTACCTTGCTAAAAGTGGAACGCCTCCTCTAGATCCGAGTGGGTTTCCGTGGACATCCTCCGCACAGAATTTTATGGACTTTGCAGGATCAGGTCCATATTTTGCTTGTGACGAGTTTAGGGAATATGCAATCAAAAGAGCCAATGTCTGGAGACTCTTATGTCTTCCTGTCACGGAGGATGATGGGCTGCACTACAATAGTCTCTCATTTTCGCCCTGGCCCCCGATAGGGCAAACAAAGGAGAAGAACTGTGCTTTACGGACATAAAAACATAAGAAATACTCGAGGCACACTCTGGCCTATCTTGAGAGGGTTTCGGCTTCATAATCCCACCATTCCATACCCAGATCAGTCTAACGTGTCACCGATGAACTCCAGCTTTTCTCAGTTAAATACTCCTCCTTCTTTAACGCAGGATACATTACGTGAAGCCTCGTTAGAGATTTTTCGATGGTTGTTAGCAAATCATGAAGGAAAACCATCCTCTGAGCCTATATATAAGGACTCTTAGATAGCAGGATGCGACGACACCGACGAGTCGGATGCAGAGGTGGAAAGCATTGCCAACAATGACCTTGATGCCTCCCATACAGGTTCTCCACTGGGTAGTGCCGGCGCCAACCCGATTATGCATAAGGCAATGGGTTGATGATATTTCTAGTCCTGATTTACCAGATTATGAAGTTTCACACGAGACTTCATATTTATTATCTGGGACTAGATCGGCCGAGAATCGGATGCTCGCCCGAGTTAGTACAAGTGCCGGAGCACGGAGTACATAAGATGACATTTAACGGACTACAAGTCAGTTTGGTTAGTCTATCGTGTGGATTACAGTGTTGTATTTGTCTACTCCGCATTGAGCGGGAAATTCAACAGAAGTGTGGCTTGTTCTTATACTTTTCAAAATGTTGAAGGTCAACTCCGTAGCTCCGTAGTTCCACAACAGGTAGCTAGTTATTCTCCCCTCAATGCGCTATATTCAGTGGTCTGTAGGGCAGCTAAAAACATACTCGAACATAGTCGAACGAAAACAATGGTCTCTAGAACTAGGACATTGCATAGTAGTGAATGTTAGAAAAGACACAGCGTCATTATCCACACCCATTATCACCTCATTAATCCAAAACATAATTTTTCCATAGCTCGGTGCTGATTTCCTGTTAAAGCCTCAAATGGACAATTTCCCGTCTTGGCTACTTCGTCGATCTCTTGTCATCTCCGACTCGTACCACTTCTGCGCTCCGTGCCGAACCCACTTGATCCCTCAGAGCTAAAGTCCTTCCACAACAATGTAGATAAAAACCCCTCTTTGTTAGTTGAAATCCCATTCCTATAATTTCTCTAAATTATTCTGTACCATGCGTTTCAATCCTACATTGAGCCTGGCCATGGTGGCCAGCGCCACAGCCGCCCAATTGACAACCCAACTATTCAACTTCACCAGCTCAATCAACATCGAAAACAGCCAGCTCCGGCCCAACGGCCATCTCCTCCTCACAACATTCTACGAAGCCCATCTCTACACAATCAACCCGCTCGCCCGCAATCCCCAAGCCGAGCTAGTCGCCGCGCTCCCCGGCGCCACAGCTCTAACCGGCATTGCAGCCGTCGGCCACGACAAGTATGCCGTCGTAGGCGGAGTCCGGGGCTCATACCACTACGACAACGAAACCATCTACACTGTCGACTTTAGCAAGAATGCCACAAACCCCACCATCCAGACCGTCGCGCACATCCCGGACGCCGATATGCTAAACGGCATGGCCTCAATGCCGTCGCAGCCGCATATTCTCCTGATCGCGGACGCGCGGTTGGGATCCATATTCCGCGTCGACATCACTACCGGTGTCTCGAAGGTTGTGTTGAAGAACGACGCCCTGGCCGCGCCTGCGAACTCGTCCATGCCCATCGGCATCAATGGTCTGCAGGTTGTCGGAGGTAATGTGTACTTCACCAATAGTGCGCTTAATATATTCGCCCGGGTGGCTGTCAGCGAAGACGGGGGGACTTTCGGTCGTATTCAGGTCATTGCGCAGTTGGTGCGCGAGGCCGGCGATACGGATTCGGATTGGGATGATTTTGCGATTGATGCTAGTGGTAATGCTTATGTGGCGCAGCCGTCTAATGCCATTGCTAAGATCACGCCGGATGGAACGCAGAGTGTCGTTGCTGGTGGGGGTGATAGCTTGGCTTTTATTGGCCCTACTTCTGTGCAGATCGTGCCGGGTGGGAAATTGGCTTATGTTACTACTCGTGGAGGTGACCAGGGGGGTGTCTCTTATGGTGGGCAGGTTGTTGCGCTTCGGCTTCGCGAGTAGATAGTGCAGGGACCGAGATGTGTATGCATTTGTATCTAGACGCTCCGGATTATGCTATTTAATCCATTTATAATACCCCTGCCAGATCTGAGACGCTTCGAAGGTTATATTTATCTATTGAGTGAGATGTTAAGACTAAAAGTAAACGTAGACGGACGATGATTAGGACGTGTCAACTTAGTGGCATGTTCATCGCATAGTAAATCTCTATGAAAATATAGATTATGACCACCTTATAATGTATGATAAATTGAAGATATTCGAGCACAATTTTTTGATTAGATCTTCTAGATCGTTTGCAGAAACCCGGAGAAAATACAAACCCAATTACAGCCTCCCCCGCATAGTTGAAAGATGTTCCCTATTGGATGTACCGAATGAAGGGGCATGTGGGTGTGAATGTCACCTCGGCAAAGCTCCTTGATTTGCTCTGATTATTTTCTCCAGGTCGTATTTGGGGTGTTCTGTGTCATATTTAGGAAGTTGGCCGTCAATAGGGCTGTACATCCCTGCTTGCGAAAGGACGCGCAATTGGAATGTAACGATGACGCTTTTTTATTTTTTATGTTTTAGTCTTTTTTTAGTGAGTAGTTAGTAAGTGGTTTCATGGTTTTTATATAATATAGAATGGTGAAGTCCAATCCTGGCTCATCCCGGTGATCCAGGCGAGGCACATACATACAACATACTTGAAGAATTTAGTCTTTCCAAGACTTCGGAAAGATCTAGGGAGATCTAGGGAGATCTACAATTGGAGATTTAACGAAGATCTATTCAGTCCGGTTCTGAATCTAAGGGGTTTCCCCCCACCCTACAGGCAAGGGCGAACCCTGGGGTACTACATTCCTCAAATTTTTTGTCTCTGGACTTCTCGACTTTTCCTTTTTCTGTTTTTTTGTGGAGTGCAGCTTTTAAAGTCATGACTTGCGCACCTAAACCCCAATGGAGCATGTTCGAAGGCTCTAACTGATGTGTTACCTCGGCTTCAAGTTCAACCTTGAATATCTTGCAGCTTCAAAGTCTCATCTCGCCACTGGAAAGTAGTGCGACACAGGAATAACGCAAGAAACTTTTGTTTTCGAAACTTGCCGGTCAAGCTCTTCTATTCTCTTTTTTCTTTTCTTGTCAGCATTCTGTTTGTGCTGAATACAAAGGATGCTACCAAGCCTTGACTTTACATCAGTACGACTGATCCACGCCATTCAACATCATTTGACCCCTCGTCAACTTGCAAATTCTCTGCCACTCATCTTATACTTCTCCGTACAAAATTATCTCGTCATCTCAAGCTCGACTACCAAAACGAACATCTAAGATGGAGCCAAAGCTCCCCCAAGGTCTTGTGGCTATGTCAAGTGTGTCTGCTAGCGAGATCTTGCAGCAGGGTACATTAAGTAATGGCTTATACAAGAACCTTTGGCAAGGTAACATAACACTCCCTACTCCTGGTCTCGTTATAAACGGGCTGGCTGACAACAAACAGCCTACTCGACATCGCACCTGGCCAGCAAAGATGAGACCGAGCGTCGCCTCGAACATCTCTTCTGGAGAATATGGGGTGCAAAACGACTCTCGAGCCGCGTTAATACCCGTACCCTAAATCGTCTTATACTACGCATTAAGGCGCCGGCAATATTAGTCGGACAAAGGGTGACTGTCCCACCGTTGCCTGTGACTGGCGACAAAGGAGAAAACGTAAACATAAATGCGTTCTACATCGCACCATATGAACCGCGTATTAGTGACTCATGTGCTCGCATCAATAAGAATCAGCCAGGCTGCGCTGTCGGAGCCTCTTCTCCTCCTCTCTCAATCGTGAGAAAGTCGCAGCCTTCACAGGTTGAAACATATAAAGCAACTCGATTGCTCCTTGACACTCCCATCGGCACAAAGATAACACTCAACCCTTCTAATTCACCCACCACAAGCATGGCTGGTGATCACACTTCCACTTCTACTCCCGGTAACACGGGCCGTCAGCGTCGCCAGAAGACCTTGACGGATGCCAAGTCTACCCTCACTCCCGAGAAGGTTGGCGGCCAGGATTCCAAGAAGACATCTATAGCTTCTGAGTCTGCCACTGCTCCAATTGACATTGGCGACCGAGGTTCCAAGAAGACATTCCTGACTGCTCCGAAGAAAGTCGGCGACCAGGACTCCAAGAAGACATCCATGACTTCTGAGTCGACCACTGCCCTGGAGAGCTTGAGCCAGCATGGTCCCAAGAAGACCTACCTTACTGCGACACGCCACGGACGAGGCCCACGCCGCCGCCCAGTCTTCAACCACCGCAAGTCCTCGCAGGTGTCTATCCCAAGAACAGCAATTCCAACCCGTCGCCGCTCTGAGCCCACTACCAAGGCCGATGACTACGAAGACAGCTATGTCGAGCTCGGTCTCTTGCAGCACCTCAGCTTCCGCGACGAGGACGACGAGATCACGCGCAACCTGGGATATGAGATTGCCCCCGCGCCAAAGCCCGCCATCCCATCCTTTTCACCATTCGATGACGACGACTTTGTCGATGACCCCGTCGCTGAGGAGGCTATTAGAGAAGCAGCAGCAACATCTCCTATTCCTTTCCCGCGCGCTTCCACTCTCCGCCGCCCGATGCTGAGCCCTGAGGAGGTCAGCAAGGTGAAGCCATTGTTCAAAGTGGTGAAGAACCCCGTCAAATTGCCTGGTGGACCGCAGTTTGACGTTCCTGGGGATATTGAGGGAGACTGGGCGGATATCTGTTGAATGGGATACCAGATTTGGCCTATTTGATAGGCTTTAGCCAGCGAATCTACAGAAATAAATAAGTCGCATATGAATGTTTCTTGTATTGGAGTCTAACCGAATTTCACCTCGTATTCCGTAGTAACCTGAGCCTTACCTAAAGAAATTGTGAGCCTCTAGGTCAAGGTTCATCTCTCAGTAGTGAGAGATCACAACTTCATTCTCTTTATCCCAGATGACAGCAACGAAGCTCCCTTGAGAACGGGGACAGCAGTGGGCTGTACAGCCAAGTGAACCTACCCAGCAGGCTCATGGTAGGACACGGACTTCTTACAAGGCTACGAGGCAGGAAGAGCGAATCAAAAGCATCGATATTGATGTAAGGCTCAGGAGCTAAGAGAGAAAAAAAGAGAAGCGGTTGATTTTCTATAAGAAAGCAGGAAGCTACTGATGTAGCTCTCAGTATTTTTCAAGTAAATGACGGAAAGGAATTAATCTCTAGATGAGACTACATTGAAATTGAAGTCATCGGGGTGTATCTCAAAAAGAACGTTAATGTTTTGTATGTATTGAGAGAACGCCATCCACGAAAAGAGCCAAAAGCACTGAACACCATGACTCCCGAGTCCAAATGTCAGATACAAAAGAAACAAACGAATGCAAATGCTATTCAAACTCCCTTTCCATCCGATGCCATCAAGGCATCTGCCCATAACAGATCTCACCCATCAAGCCCACTATCAAAGTGAGCATTCACACCCTCAACTACCTAAATTTGCTCACCCTTCTCAGCATCAAGCGCACCAGCTGACCTGCGACTCTTCAACCAGCGCAGCAGAACCCACGAAGTAGTCATAACCCAGAACGCCAAGTTAATAATATCAACCCAAACCGCATGGCGCATCCGATTTATCTTCGACGCATCACCAAGCGCTGAAGTCGCAGCATCAGTCTTCGAGACGACAGGATGAACACCAATATACATCTTCCCAAAGATGCCAAAGAGTGCTAACCACAGCACGGAAACCACAAATTCCCACACAAACTGCGGCAGCAGCAGCATCGTGGAACCGGAGCCAGCCCCGACGCCGCGCTTAGCTTTGCGCATGACGAACGGCATGACGAGGTGGATGGCTGCAGTTACGGTGGCGAGGAAGGCCGTGATGAGCGCGTACACCCATTTCGCGTGCCAGGTGTCTTCCTCGGAGTGGTCGTGATGCACGTCTTTGCCGTACAGGCCAATGACGGTGAGGCCGAAGACGAATTGTAGGAAGCGCAACGTTGAAAAGAATATGAAGGCTAGTTTGGCGCTTTTGCTTTTCTCTTGTGGTGGAGAGAAGTGGAGGGTTGTCCCCGGCGTGGCGCCGGCTGGGTAGCCGCTCATTGGGTGTTGCTCGGGTTCGTAGGTTGGGTAGGCGTTTTGTTGTTTTTGGAGGTCTTTCTTGGCTTTGTGTTTCTTGGCTTGGGATATGCCGAGCTTGAGGAGTGGGACGGCTAGGAAAGACATCTTTGGATTTGGTATGGTGATGTGGTAGGTGGTTGTTGATTGGAAGGTGCGAATGAAAGCAATAGTAAGTGCTTAGGATATGGCGCACAGCGCAGATATTATATCGAGAAGAAGGAGTATGAAGTCGAATGAGATAATGAGAGGAGTATTCCAAGATTCGGCAGACCAGATGCCAAATAAGAGGAATGAAGCTATTGTCGAGATTGTATGACTAGATATTGGGACAAAGAGAAAGTGGCCCGTCGTATTCAAGAGGTATAATAGAAATAGAAGAGAATGAATGAAAGAAAGATGCATGAAAATAGAATGGAAGACTCTCATCAATGGCCCGGGGCTGTTCTTTATAGATTAGCCCTATTCTCAGTCCCCGGGGCATATTCGTCAGAACTTGAAGGCAACAAAGCGCAATGTTGCTATTTTCTGCTATTTTCTGGCATCTGCGGCCCCGGATGAAACGCATCTCCTTCGAGCGCGCGGTTCTAGAGCTTCCCCACTGTCCATCCTCGCCTTTCATCCAAAGACAATCACTCGGGAACAAGAAGATGAAACGCATGGATCAAAATAGAACACCGAACACCCCTGGAATCAAAAACTAACACAAAGCTAGCAAGCTGGGGTATTGCAGGGGTCCGAAACCTGGTATCTAGTGGGGTTGCAGTTCGCGCGCGCCAACTTGAGGTTGGGATAGTTTCAAGTGTGGTGGCTCGAGATCCAATCAAAAAGTCCTCTCTATTTTCGGTATATACAAATGAAGTTAAACAGATGATCTAAGAAAAGAATGTATGCTACGAGACTGGACATTGGATCATTTCACATTTGATTCAGAACATACACATCATGGACATTACAAGTACAAAGATAACCAGGAACCAGACTCCAACAAGGGACTTTGTCCGATGAGTTGCTCGCCAAACCAACATGCTGAGAGGCGATTTCCTTCCATGCAACAACCCGAGAACACCCCTCCAAAAAATACCCCATACACCCTGTCAACCTGTCAACCCGAAAATAAAAACCAAATGCAATGATGGACTGATGAAATGCAAAAGAACACCAATGAGACGCAGAAGGACGACTAGGCCGGTCGACTTGCTCCAGAATTCGCAGTACCCTTGATGCCTGGAACAGACGCCGCTATCTTTGGATAATTTCCAGTGGGCGGTAGTGGAGGCTTGAGGTCGGTGGGGGACGCAGGGGCAGAAGGTGGGATCGGCAAATTTTCATCATCATCATACTCATGTCCTTGGTATTCATCATCGGGAAGACCTGATCCACCGCCGGAGGAGTTGTCAGCCGAAGCGCGGTCGTATGCCTGCTGCTGTGAGCCATTCTTCGATGCGTTCTTCGTCGCCTTCTTGGTCTTGCGACCCTTCATCTTGGCCTTCTCCAAAAGCCGCTTCTTCTCCGCCAGTCGCTTGCGCTCTTTGCGGTCTTTCATCTCATACTGTCTGATTAAGGCTTCGGGCGGATGCCCAAAGATGCTTTCATATTCACAGAATTCACAAATCCAGATATCCTCGAGACTAGGGGGATGGTGGAAGTTCGTGTATTGTTGCTGGATCTTGCGTTGACGTGCAGACAATGCGTATGTGCTGCTTGGGGATCGTTTTTTCTTGGGGCCCACGGGGGTCGGCTCCCCACTTTGAGCGGGTGCTTGCGCGGGTGGGGCCTGGTGGTTCATGGAGCTAGTCTGTGTCCCTTGTGTGGAGATGCCCCTCTGTTTTTGACTTGCCGGACCGAGTGGTGAAGTGGGGGATCGATAAGGGATTGAATAATTTCGCTGCATCGCCATGCCCTTAGAGGAGTCAGATTCACAAGTGAACGTGAATTGTGTCTTCGTCGGAGTGGTATTTTCTTTCTCTTTTTCCAAAAGGCTGACGTTGCCAGGACCTCGAGGTGGGGAAGAGAGCGTTGCGGCATTGGCGATCGCGGTAGAGATGATTCCCTGGTCAGAAGATTCATCTGGTACAGAAGTTAGAGCAAATAATGCAATGGGAAAATGGAAAATTGCATACCAGAAGGGCCAGGGGATGGCATCAACCCGTCTCGCCGACTGGGCGTCCGGGCATTCAACCATCCATGCTGGGCATTGGGCGATAACGGGTTTCTGCTGCTGCTACGAACAGTAGGACGTCCCAACCGACCTCTTCCTGAACCAGATATCCCATTTCCTAAAGGAGACGCGGGGTTTCCACTCCCATAATATGTGCCAGTGGCATCAGTTGGAGTAGGGGCCCGTACGGGGGTTGAGTTTGTCAAGCCCATACTGGCGAACTCCGGAGACAAGGCAGAATGGTGCCCTCCCAAGTTCCCGGGGGTAGGTATCTTTCTCTTTTTCTTGTTATTCGTATTCTCAAACGCGTCGTAGCCGTCCCCGGTTGAAGATTTTGTCTGCGGTGTGTCGTGGGGGAAGCTATGTGGATTGCCAGACACGGGAGGTGATAGTGACGATCTCCGGATAACACCACTCCTTCGAACAACCATCGGACCGCTTTCATCACCGCTTTCCAACTCTACTGGCGTCTCAAATTCATGATTCTCAACCTCCGGTGACAATTCAGTATCCACTGTCTGCTGCACATATACTTTGGATTCATTCACCGCCTCTTCAGAATCCGCAGAGACACCATAGAATATTTGAGACGCCGGCGGCGTAGGAGGATAGAATAGTGTGTCGGCAGCATCGGAGGAGAGGCGTGAACGGAGGGTCCGTCTAGGTAGAGGACGGATCAAACGATCAGGGTAAATGGCAGAGGGTGTATCGGGGGACGAATTGAACACCCCGTCTACATGGCATCGTCAGTATTCAGTCCACTAGTTGATCGTTTTCCTGAATTGGGGAATCCCCGATCATCCGGACCAAATGTCCCTGAGACATACTCAATGTAGCTGTCATCATGCAAGATATCCACGCTCGCCATCAACCGCCGACGATGCTAAGAGGATGATATTCCAGCCCTTTCGCTCTGTCCTTTTATCCCCCGCCACCGTATTTTCTTGTCAAGGGGCCAATAATCCAAAAGTCGGGGACAGTGTTGAATGTCGAATTGGCAAGTAATGTCTTCAATGTCTGTGATCCGCAGTCATAAGCTTTTGTCCTTTTAAAAATAAGCTCACGAGAAGCGTACAGGCAGTGAGATCAACATGCAACTGGGATTCAATCCAATCCTGGCGTTCCTCTGCTGTCCACAATCCCGGAGACACGAATATCAACCTACCCACAAAATGGTGCTATTACTCAGCACCTTCGATATCCAAAATCGATGGGACGAGGATCCAAAATTGGGAATCGAGTGAACTCGATTCCAGATTCAGTGTTAGAGACAAGACAAATGAATAACTTGAATAACTACTAGGAGGGGTTGAGGGATACGAAGAGAAAGAGACAAGTCACGGGAATTTAGAAATCAGGCTAATCTACTTTCGGCAATCCCTCTACCCAATGACTTCGGAGAGAAGTGGCATTACACGTACACGCCTCTGAAGAACTACTTTGCAGACTAGGCACCTATAGAGCACATGTTCGATCTGATCTTCTAGGTGCTACCATGCACTATACCTTTGGTCATTGGTCATCAGTCTATACAAAAACCTCTAATGGGAGACAAAAAAAGCCCGCCCTCCGATCATCTCCCAGATAGGTACTCCCGATATCCGCATCCACAGGGAATCCAGCATCTCAGAGCTGGTGTGAGGGATTGATTCAATGTTGGCTATGGATTTGCTGATCGCAGTACAACCCATACCTAGCCAACTAGTGCAACGAACCTCGATCGCGTGTGATTGAACCCCTCCGGAGGGCTTTGCTCAAAGCCTCATTTCGCCTTTCCAACCACCAATGCACCCAGAGCATATTCGGAGGAATAACTACATCATCTATATGTTGGGAAGAATGGATGCTACGAGTTGCATTGCGCAACTAGACCAAAGTTGTCTTGCCGACGCTGAAAACGGGTTCGGCCCGAAATGAGAGGCACACTCGGTACGAAGGATGGGACATACAGAATTTGAGACGATGTGGATCATAAGAACATTAATTCTTGATGATCTTATTGTTCTCACAGCATAGGAGGATTCAAGGTCGAGTTTTGCGGTTCAAGGGCCGTCAATCCATGTTAGACCTTTCTTACCCTCTCTCTGTTCTCTGTTTTTTCCACTGGGATATATCACACCGGGAGAATATCGGCAGCCCTATACAGTATTGTATGTTGTGTCTTGTCCTCTTATCAATCAACTCTCTTTCGCTTGCAAGCTCTCTCATTGCTCCATCGTGTTGTGCTAGTGGAAGATACAACCCCAATTAGTCGGCCACAAAACCATTGTGCATTAACATATATAGCCAAAATAATGTCAAAGGTATATAGGAACCAGCAATCAATTCCACCATATGTAGGGCAAAAAGGAAATGAAACACGAACAGCATGAGTGGTGAAAGATTCGCGCGTCGAGAGGCGTCGAGAGCGGGGAAACCGGCGATTGGATCTTTTGGAGTCCCGTTCCGGTGCTTTTCCTCCTTCTCTTTCTCCTCCCCGCCATTATAAGGAATCATTTCTCGGACTATGTAGTCATCGGGCTCTTCATCGAGCCTTGCGACGCCTTTATACATATCTGTTGTTTCCAATTGTCCTGCTTCTTTTTACTTGACTCTGCACCCTCCCCAAGAGCTCTCAATCGCGCGCGAGAGCTCCCTCGCAAACGGGTTTTCTCGAGTTACCTAGAACCACACCAGCCAACGTCTCGGAAATCTGTTGATTCTCCTTAATCTGGCTTTCAGTGCTCTCTTTTATACTTCCTTCAAATACTCAAACCTCCCCCACCATGTCTCCTCGTCGTTCCTCTCGGGCTCGCACCTCCCAGCCCTCTCCTGCCCTCCTACAACAAACCAACTCTTCCTCCAGCTCCTCAAATTCTCTTACTCGTGAGAGAAGCACTCGATCGAATCATAAGAATCCCTCTCCTCACGAATCGACCAGTCACCGCTCTCAGTCCATCGATGATGC